TCATAATGACCTCAGGTTACACATGTATCTGTGTCTGAGTGTTCAGATAAATTGTTGAAATCTTAATTCACTTGGAATAGGAGGCAGGTACTCCTCCCTCCAGTCAATTGATGTTTTACTCATGAATGTTAAAATTACATGATAGGTGAAAGTAATTTCTTTCAACATCGTTAGAGAAGTTGCAGACAACATTAACTCGAAAAATTGTTAAAAAAAAAACAAGTATCAGGGAGTACGCTTACGATTTTATGCTTTATACGTGTACAGAGACATGAAAATTAAATACTTTGGCTAATTTAGCTGTAATTGTAAAACAAAGAGATCGTTTGGTTTCTTATGCATAATACCTCCTGCATCCTCGAGCATTTTTGTATTCACATTCAGGAACAGCATGTTAGGACATATTTCAAAGTCTTTTAGATACAACTTAATATGAGAAAAATTACCGTTATTACACTAATGATTAAATTATCTGTATGAAATAGGAAATTGAAACATTCCTCAAACCAACTCCACACTATGATATACCTTTACTAGATAACAAAATATAGTTAGATAATGGAGCTTTAGTGCAAACAAATGTAAATTTACTAGTGAATGATAGTGCATTTTCTCAACATTTACATTATTTCCTCTTGATGAATTTAATGCGCTGGATACCTATCTGTATTTGTAAAACAAATAAAAATCTTACTAAACAAAACATATCTGACATGATTTTTTATTTAAAATGTTTATCAAAAAAGAGAAGACAACGTGCCATGTCCCACATCTAATACTGTAATGAATTAAGATGACATCTGGGTTATGTTTTGCTTTTCCTTGTTTATTTTGTGTCTTCAGGTATTTTCTAAAAGAAAGACTTGATAGATATCCAATTGTTACACTCTATTATTATCCTTATTTGGCTTGATCAGGTATAATCAATCTGTATTAAAACGGATGTAAACAATAAGTTGGCTTTAGAATCATTTCTAGCTTTTGATAATAACATTTTTACTGTGTCCGATTAAACTTGTTGATTGCTTGATTGATTGATTATTAGTTGCTCAACGTCCAGTGGCAAATATTTCATGCATGTTCAGGACGAGAACAAATTAACAATAAATACAATAGGTAGGTCCGGTAATAAAGGTCAACTGGGTTTAAGATAGGGAAAAATTTTGACTGCCACGGGAAAATGGGGGTATATTGGATAGGGATAGAAATTTAGCCTTGCAACAGGACACCTACGGACCACTCAATGAGTTATTACAAGGGTTCTTAACGTGCAGAGATAAAACGTGATTTTACAATTATCTTCAGCCATGTTGGTTGGTAGGCGAGATAACCGGATACATTTTAAACAAGATGTTCTTATGATGTAAATGGCCTAATATGGTCCCAGCTTACTGATTAGTTTCAGTGGAGAAGGTTTTTATAAAAGTTATCGGACGACAAAGATGACGACGACGGACGACGGACGCCAAGTGATTAAAATATTTCATTTATGGAGACAGTAGATTACCGATGCTCAAATCTTGAAAATCAATTAAGTAGACTCAAATCAAGTTAAAAAAATTGAGAGAATCGCATGCTCTCCAACTTTATACTTGTTTGGCTTTCTAACTATTTTGATCTGAGCGTCACTGATGAGTCTTATGTAGACGAAACGCGCGTCTGGCGTATTAAATTATAAGTCTGGTACCTTTGATAACTATTTACACCTCTGGGTCGATGCCACTGCTGGTGGACGTTAAGTACCCGAAGGTATCAGCAGCCCAGTATCCAGCACTTCGGTGTTGACATGCATTTCAATTATATGGTAATTTTTTATTAATTTACTGTTAAAGTATGAATTATTCGAAATACTAAGGATTTTCTTATCCCAGTCACAGATTACCTTAGCCGTGTTTGGCACACCATTTTGGAATTTTGTGTCCTCAACTTTGTACTTGTTTGGCTTTCTAACTATTTTGATCTGAGCGTCACTGATGAGTCTTATGTAGACGAAACGCGCGTCTGGCGTATTAAATTATAAGCCTGGTACCTTTGATAACTATGAAATCCAAAAGTAAAGAGACCAGATTCGCCGACAGGGCATTAATTTCCTACTATGCATACATCATCGGCAATGTGAATCCATACTCAATCAAGTGGTCATAATCGGAAATAGAACACAATCAGTAAATAACAGATCAGAGAAATATTCTGGTATCTTAATATCTTAGGCAAGATATCATATTGCGCTTGCCCTTCCATTTCCAGAAATATAGTCGGTCCATTTATGCCAATTGAGTAATACAAATATAAAGTTTGGTTTTGATAACCGATAAGATAGATATAAAATGTATATCAACTAAATAGAATCTAAATCATTGGATCTTCACTTATCACTTATCTCTGTGCTGACGTTTTTGCGTTTGTTTGTTTGTGGTGTATTTTTGTCATTTAGTGCTGTCATTTAGTGATGTCATTTTAGCGATATATTTTCAACATTGCCATATAAGCAGGAAGTTTGGCTAACCATAAAACCAGGTTCAACACACCATTTTTTCTTATAATGTCCTGTACCAAGTCAGGAATATGGCAGTTGTTATCAAATAGTTCTTTTCTATGTATGTTGCATTGGCGTTTGTTTTTTGTTGCACTTCAGTATTTATGTTGTTCCGTTGTTTTCCTTTTATAGTTGATGTGTTTCCCTCGGTTTTAGTTTGTAACCCGGACTTGTTTTCTCTTAATCGATTTATGACTTTTGAACACCGGTATACTACTATTTTCTTTATTTATCACAGAACCAACGTATCAAAGACATATCACGTATTTAGTCTTTCCGAATGAACCAATTGTCGCAAGCCTTGCACTTAAAGAACAAGATATCCGAAATTTGTCTTAACCTTCAACTGCAATATCATTAAATATTCGTCTATTTACCTACATAATAATTAATTTAATAATTTATTCATTCTTATTAAGGTTTCCTTTTCAGTTTATACTTTGCAGTTTTATGATTATATTTTATTCCTACTGACAATACATGTGTCAGCAAATACAATTTGCAACTTCCTCATAAAAAAGAAAAGATAAAAAACAGATAAAAAAAAAACAGGAATGAAAAACCCCCCAGAAAATCCCCAATAACAAGGAAAATGTTAATATTAAAACTTAAGGAAATTGTAATGAATTTCAGTGTTAAAATTTTTATTTGAACGCAATTCGACCTATTTATAGCAATCTTATCACAAAAGTATAACATATTTATACAAACTTTGATTCGCGATACACAAATATAATTTTGTTGTATAAATACTGTAGTGATAAAACACCCAACATATTATCAATTATTGTGTAATGGTCGTCAGCTGGATAACGTAAGTTAAATAGTGTTGCTTTTCTTCATAAATAAGATATGATTTTTATTGTCATTTTTATACCACTTCAAGCATCGTGGCGATTGTAAACTTGACATTTTGCACTGACTTTCGTCTATCAACTAGGTATATGAGCCAAGGCTCCGTGTTGAAGACCGTACTGTGACCTATAATGGTTTACTTTTATAAATTTTGACTTGGATGAAGAGTTGTCTCATTGGCACTCATACCACATCTTCTTATATCTATGTTAAGAGGTAAGTTTTTAAAACCAGGTTTAATCCACCATTTTCTACATAAGTACATGCCCGTACCAAGTCAGGAATATGACAGTTGTTATCCATTCGTTTGATATGTTTGAGCTTTTGATTTTGCCATTTGATTAGGGACTTTCCGTTTAGAATTTTTCTCGGAGTTCGGTATTTTTGTTATTTTACTTTTTTTATTCTTTTATTCGTAGACATGATTTTCATAATCATGTAAAATATTATCTTGTTACAACTTATACATTTTCCCTGTATGCAGAGTTTTATTGTTTTCTCGAAAGTACCATCACTCAATTCATAAATATTTAATGTAAAAGTTTCCCATCCAATCTAAACAAGACAGAATGTTGAATTATTTACAGTATCAATAATATTCTATGCAATGTTACAAAATGTATATTCTGTTAAGATATAAGAGATATGTCATATTAAAAATAAAGATAATATTTGTACCTAGATGGACACAGGTATTTATAAGCCCAGGAATGATAACACTCTGTCACGCTAGACTCAATTTCAGATGAAACATGTCCGCGGGGGTCTGCGTATCATCACCATCTGCGCTTGCCGTAGCCGACGACGTAGACTTCTTACGAAAAAAAGTCGAGAACACTTATCTGTTATTTTTTCATTTTGTTTACACTAAATGAAGAACACACACGACCACGCATAGTGCTTCGGAAATTATTGGGAGTCATCATCATATCTTCACCTTTGTTACATTCAGAAACCTCCGAGTTTATCTGCTGCGAACACAGGCATTTTGTTTTCTTTTTTTTTGTCACAATGATGTGGATGCTTGAGGATCTGAGCATACATGCAAGCTACGCCACAGACATTGCAACAGCGGAGGTTACCATTACCCTCGCTGCCATTAGAAAAACTGTCATCTAGCTTTTGAATTAACAGAAAACCTTTCTGTTGGACTTTACATACTTATTTGTGATATGAACATTGTGCAATGACAACATATATCTGAGTATCATTAGGACATAGAACTATTTTAAAGAAGTATTAATTAGGGTCCCGAATCCTCGATGCGGGAGCTCTTTAGTTTAAACTTTGTTCGTCTGTCTGTCTGTCCGTCCGTCCGTCTGTCTGTAATGTTTTGTAAGCTATGGTACTTTTTAAAACAGTCTATAAAACTGAGGACACAGGACTCTTGAAATATTTACTTTTATTATGAATATTAATGATTTTGTTGATCGTGTTTTTTTTTAGTTAGTTATGTTGTGTCATGATAAAGATTTGAATTGAATTAATTCGTGATTAGATGTATGAAAAAAATTCAAATAAAATAAGACCATTGCATATATTTCAGTATCATTATTCAATTTAGATAATGGAAAACACAAAAACCAGTCTAAGTATTGGTAAAAATAAAATGACAACAATTTCTGAAGAAGAAGAAAACTATGTGAGGATGGATATGTTGCTATCTGGGATTTCCCAGCGTGCAGTTAGAGTTTTGTTTGACCGTGAATTTCATCCATTGTATTTAAATGCTTCTATTAGGAAAGAAACCAAAAAGTTGAATGACCTAAAAAAGAAAAGATTAATCAACAAATCACAGTGGGACCTTCTGTTTCCTCGCAATGGTAGGTTTATAATAAGTTCACAAGGTATATTTCAAGAAAACATGTCTGAATTCGGTAAAATAAACGAAAAGACAAAAATGGACCAGTATAAATATAGGTTGAAAAATTACAAATATAACAAAAAATTCTTTGATATGTGTGTCTTTAGATATTGCTACTACTATTAAGAAAAGAAGGACAGAAAAAGGTCTTCTTTTCTGCGTTATATAGTCACTTAAATTTGAACTATAGATTTAGAATTACAGTTTACATGGTTTATGTAAATTTAAACTATGAGTTAATATGATATCAAAATCTGGTAGTTAAACGATCCATGATGTGATGACATCATTAAGAATAACTTTTTAAGCTTTTTAGTAAAAACAAAATCATAAATTTTGATCCCTTTTCAACAAGTTTTTTAAGGCCACAATTCAAATAGAGCAAAGGTATTTATCGCATAATTAATGTTCCATGATGTTTCTTTATATGAACAACAGATCTCTTTTGATTATCTATTATTGCCCAATATTTCAAACTAACAAATATGTGTCGACATATACAATTAATGTTGTTTTTGTGCATGTATGAAAAAAAAAAAAAATGTTTGAAATCAAACTTATGCTAACTTTTTTTCAACGGCCTAATCTACAATGATCTGGATAAATAGTCATTTTATTTTAAAATTCTGCAGTGTTTAACCTTGCAAATAAATATTAATTATCTTTGAGCACAAAGTCACATGTTAAAGCTGAAATCATTTTTAGTTAAAATAGGGAGCAGCCTTCCCTCATCCCATATCAACAAAACGGTTGTTCAACAAAAAAAAACCCCAAACATCATTAATTGAAAAAAATATAACGCCCTAGTGTCTGATAGATTTTGACTTTCTGGACTGTGCGACCTGAATGCATTACATAAAGATCATATGAAAATTGTCGACCTAGACTTTGGCAGCAAGTTTCATTCTCGAAATCGGAATTGGTCTATTCAAGCAGATATTTCCCACTGCATAATAACCGCCCTGTAGCATCAACGAAGCTTATTTCCCCTTTAATCCTCTTGTTTATATGTTCGTTCATTCAACAGGATTAGATATCACGTGCACGCATTGTTTCGTTCATGCGCTTAATTTCGGAAATAAATGTATGCATATGATCTCTGCGACACGCAAAAATTCATAGTTTGTCTCTTCATCTAATATTATATCTATCATTTGCAAACATTGCATATATTAACCTATTTACATTTAAAACATCTATAATTATAAATTCTATAGACAAATAATTCTTGATTGCATTATCACAGAAAGCGAATACATTTCGCAGAAACCGGTGATTGATGGGTATGAAGTTTTCGATCGTTCTACAGGGGTTGATCAGTGAACCAAATAGTGTATGATTTATCTTTTTGACAATCGATCTTGTAAGATTTGCAGACCGAAAATTGCCCCTTATGACTGTGTCTTCAAATTTCATGTTTTTCATATGTTGTGCTGTCTTACGTTGTACAGCCCCAAAAATTCTTAAAAGGCCAATTGGTCTTCAGTGGAATTTTAGACTTAATATTAGCATACATCTGTGGATCGGTTATGTCAATGTTTTCTATTAAGCGCTCTGACTTCCCATTGCCCAAACAAGTCCCCATAAGTCGGAACAATATCGGATTGTGTATAGTCTATTTATTTTTTACCTTTTGACTCAGTTTCAACTGTTATTTATCTCTGTACTGATCAGTTGAAATACAGACACACTCTTGAAATTTAACCCAATAAGTTTGCATCCGATTTCTTGTTTTCAATATAGAATAGAGAATGGAAACAGGGAATCAGTCAAAGAGACAACAACCCAACCAAAGAGCAGAAAACTGCCCAAGGCCACCAACGGGTCGTCAACGCAGCGTGAAAGTACCGCGCCGTTAGTTGGGCTTCAGCTGGCCCCTAAAAAACGGGATACTAGCGAAATTTTTTCTGGAAGTTATGCAAGAACCAATGATATTTTTTATGTTTTCTTTTGTAGAAAAATTGTCCATTTATTACTTTATTTCTGTTTACAGGTAATCCAAAATCAAACATGTTTGATATTACTTTGATGAGTACATTGCTTACAAATCTTACAAATTTAGACCACTACGACAAGTTGCCATTGGAAATAGACACCACACCAGCAGCTGATTTAGGGAGGATTAAAAATTATAGAAACCTCTTATCACACAATAAAGATGAGAAGTTAGAAAACTCATTTTTCAGCATAGCATGGAATAATATTATTGAGGTAAGAATAGGTATTTGGTAAAATGACTTTTCCAGTTTCTATCATATCATTTAATATAATGGAAAGAAGTTTGGACACAGCTAAATTCAAATCAGTAATACAATTATTTAACTTCAGTTGATTATCCAAAATGATTATCCTTAAAGTTAAGAAATGCTTATTTCTGACACTACCAAAATGAAAATAAAAACATAAAAACAATGTAATTTCATTTAAGAAGTTATATTTTAATGCCAGCCTACAATAGTATAAAAAAGCATCGTCTATGTATCCGTATATTAGTCTATATGATATTCAATACATTTGTATTCTTGTCTTTCATTTTTGCTAATATGCTTTGTCTATATGCCTTTTTTTGTGTTTCTTTGTTACATATGACGTGGCTCTGTACTTATACATCCCGTCATTGTGTTATTATGCCATGGTAAAAGTTTGTTTACATATTTGTTTGTTTTTATAGTGATTAAGATAATAACACAATGTTGACTGCTGTACCCCAATTTTTGACATGTCTACCTATTTTGTCTGTTTGTTTTGTTCACACATCGTTGTCAATATAATGGAATTTTATGCGACTGTCATACAAGTGAGAGGTTTAGCTAGCTATAAAACCAGGTTTAATCCACCATATTTTACATTAGAAAATGCCTGTACCAAGTCAGGAATATGTTGTCCATTCGTTTTATGTGTTTGAGCTTTTGATATTGCCATTTGATTACAGACTTGTATTGAATTTTCCTCGGAGTTCAGTATTTGTTTCGTATCACATTAAAGGTTTGGTTTAAGGTATTAGTCAACCACGAAGTCGTTGTCATATCATCAAACTTAGTTCTCATGTTCATAATTAATTTGTTAAACTATGTTCAATAAACATGAACGTAAGGATAGTGAGAGCAAGACATGGTTTTAAATTTATTTATTGAAGCTAAGAAATGTAATTGGGCGCTTAAAAAAGAGACATATTGACAAGAGTAAAGAAAATCCTAATGTACTGCATCATTATAATCTGAAATTCCAAAATTACAGATGAGAAAATAATTACAAGTATCTGATATTTTTTTAATGTTTACAGGCTGTTGGTAGACTAGGTGGCCAAAGTATGTTTGATGAATGTAAAGAGTTCAGGACAAAAATTTTGGATCAGTCGACTGTCCCTTGGAACATAAGAGGTAAGGACCAAAACTTTAGACAAATCATACGTACATCACATACAACACGTTTGGAACTAAACCATGAAGAATCCTTAGTTCTTTAGAAATAAGAGTTAAGAACAAAAACTTAAGACCATTCATCAACTACTGAAAACATATGATACGAGGTGAAGGTCTTAAAGTTACATTACTTGGTTACTCCATACACAAAAACTTCGGACTGAAGATCAATATATTAGAACATACAAGGTAGGAAAAAGTAAAATAACAAAAATACCGAACTCCATGGACAATTCAAAACGGAAAGTCCGTAATCAAAAACAAAAAATCAAAAGCTTTAACAAATAAAACGAATGGATAACAACTGTCATATTCCTGACTTGGTACAGGCATTTTCGTATGTAGAAAATGGTCGATTAAACCTGGTTTTACAGCTAGCTAAACCTCTCACTTGTATGACAGTCGCATAAAATTCGATTATGTTGACAACTATGTGTGAACAAAACAAACAGACATGATAGGTAAAAATTTCAAAAACAGGGGTACAGCAGTCAACATTGTGTTATAATTTTAATTACTATAAAAACAAACAAATATATAACAAAGAAACACAAAAAGACATATAGACAAAGCGCATTAGCAAAAATGAAAGACACGAATATAAAAATTTATCATAGCACAATAACACAATGACGGGATGTATAAGTACAGAGCCACGTCACATGTAACATAGAAACACAAAAAAGGCATATAGACAAAGCACATTAGCAAAACTGAAAGACAAGAATAGTAAATTTATGTTGCCCATAGAACAATAACACAATGACGGGATGTATAAGTACAGAGCCACGTCAAATGGATATCACCAAAAACAGACTAAACAGTAAAAGTAAAATTCATAAAAACAAATCAAAAAATACTATAACACGTTATTAAGATGATAAACAACGTCAGTACCCAGGATCTATACTTCAAGACCACCGTGTATTATTTGTGAAGGAACTTTCATGGTTTAGTTTCTCGTTCACAGTAAGAAATAAATCAAGTTTTGTTCTATGTCATGGCTGTTTTTTTGCTTTGAGGTGACATGTATCGCCTCACGTTTACCCTTTTTCACTGTTCACTAATAAATGCTGTGTGAGAACTTAGGCCGTTATCTAAAGTTTAATCAGTTTAATCAGTTAATGTTGTTAGTAAAACATGCCAATAAGACAGTAGCCCCCGGAACTTGCATTTTTATTGGAATAATTGATTATTGTTAAGTGCTTGTGTCTATAATATGTTAGCTTTTCTCTTACAACGAGTAATAAGTCAGGACCGTGTCTCTTTTAGCGTACCAAGTCAGCAATGTGACAGTTGTAATCGACAGTCCGTTTCTATGTATGTTGACGTTGCCTGTATCCAGGTCAAACCTTCATGGGAATCTTTCAACGTCTTGATTTGGATACTAGTAACAATTGTTATCTTTCGTTGGACACTTAAACTCGTTGATAAAGCCTTCCACGAAAGCCACGAAAATTGGTACCGCACGAATAAAGTACTTTCACGGTATATGGTATCTATATGAATATGAGCGATATATCAAGGTTGTATATTGCAAAAGTAAGCATATCACTATACACATGAGTTGACATTATATTGAAATTCGTACTAGTAAAATTGTTTTCTTTCTAATGTAGGTAAATTGTTCTCTTAGGATGATTTGGCAACCTACACCAATACATATTGGCTACCTGAACAACGCCAAGGGTTCATTATATGTCTAAGTCTACTGGATAGAGGTTGTCCTATTACCTCCTAAACCTGTTTTACCATTAAACCCGTTTAAACAATCCTCTTCAAGTCAACTTGTTCCTTAATTCATATGAGGCTGACGTCATATACATGAGCTTCTGAGGAAGAAAGCAAAGAAGTTATCTTTATACTTTAACTTCAATTTCCGCTATAAAGATGATGTGCTATCATTAAATTTTTCAAAGTTTGGGGACTATGTTGAATGCATATATTCAATCGAACTTGAGATACAAGACTTACATTTAGAAATTGACGAGAAGTTGAAATCATCCCTTTGTTAATTTTACGGAAGCAATCATGAGTTGGTTGGCCATTATGAAATTCAGGATATGTTCCAACTCGTAACCCTAATACAGCAATTTCCCCCCAAATGTGATCTTCGAATTAGAATTATCACCGAGTTTGTACTTACATAAGCAACACGATGGGTGTCACATGGGGAGCAGGAGCAAGATCATCCTCGGTTTTTTTTAGGGTTCGTGCTGCCCAGTTTTTAGTTTTTTATTTTATTTTTTATATATTGTTGTTTGTCTTTTGGTCTCTTTCAGATTTTGACTTGGCGTTGTCAGTGAATTTTGGACTTGTGAGTTGGAATGTCTATTTTAAGAGAATATTATGAAGTAGACCATGATCTCTGAAAGACGGATGATACATGCATCCATATTGTGTGCTTGATACTCACAACTTTTTATCAACAATGCACTCATCGCAGGATTTAAATGTATGAGTAGCATAGTATATATTATCTAAATTTATATATTTCAGATCAAATCAATAAGACATTGGAAGCATGGAAAGTGATGAATTCCAAATTTGTTGGAACCAAGGCTTCCCAGTATGTTCTTAAATGTATACAGAAACACAGTTGTGTAACAATTACAGCAAGTTCTGGTGTTGGAAAGACAGTAACTCTACGACATGTTGCACTAGAGATGGCAGACGATGGGTACAATGTTCTTCCCGTAACCAATCCACGTGATATAGTAAAATTTAACAATCCAAATAAAAAAAACCTGTTCATTTTGGATGATTTTTGTGGAACTTATTCTATTAACCAATCTGACCTGAATAGATTGGAACCAGTCATGGAAAGTATCAAAGATTTGTTGATTCAAAATAAGACAACAAAAATCATTGTAGCATGTCGACTACAAATTTATCAGGATTACAAATTTAAATCGTTGTCAATTTTCAGGACATGTGAATGTAACCTGCTATCAGAAGATTTGTGTTTATCACAAACAGAGAAACAGTCAATAGCAGAACTATATCTTGAAACAAAAACTTCATACATAACTAAAGACTGTGTATATGATTGTTTTCCACTTCTTTGTAAATTGTATAGTGTCAATCCTAAACCCAACATAACAGATTTCTTCCAGAATCCATTTTCAGTTTATGAATTAGAGATTGAGAAGTTGCATAACAATGGACATTTTAGAAAATATTGTGCCTTGGCTTTATGTGTCATGTTTAACAACAGACTAGAAGAGGAATGGTTTACAGATGAAATAGATAAAGAAAAAAACACAAGAATAAAGAATACATGTGAAGCGTGTAAGCTGAACAGAGGAACATCTCGACTTACCTTACTAGATGAAATGAAGAACCTTGAACATACTTTCCTGAAGAAAGAACAAGATATATATACAAGTATACATGATAAAATATTTGACTTCCTAGCATATTATTTTGGACAGAGCATGCTCCAGTGTGTGATCAAAAATGCAGACAGTTGGGTTATTAGTCAAAGATTTGTATTAGAAAAAAGAGATAGTACGGATCAGTTTATGACAATAGTACCAGCTAAATACCACCCAATGTACATGCAGCGAATGATTGATGACTGGTCTAAGGGTAAAGTACAGCATGTGTTTGATAATATCAATTTGCAAATACCAGAGATCAGACAGAGATTTCGCTGTTATTTATTTAGTACACTTGATATCTTACATCAGAGACAACTAGCACTAACCTGTGATGTTGATTACAAGAACACTGTTCTGATACACTGTTGTTTCCTAAATGATATTCCATTCATCAACTGGTGTATTCATCATTGCGTTGATGTCAATCAGGGCAACATTAGTGGTGAGAGTCCCTTACTTGTTACTGCACAAGAAGGCCATAAAGAGGTTATGGAATTATTACTGGACAACAAGGCAGACATAAATAAGTGTGAAAAAAACGAAATATCTCCTTTGTATATTGCTTGTTACAAAAACCGCACAGAGATAGTTAAGATTTTACTTGCCCACAATGCAAACATTGATAAGTGTAGACATAATGGAGAATCACCATTCTTTGGTGCTTGTCGTAATAATAATATAGAAGTAGTTAAATTATTGTTAGATAAAAAGGCAGATATTAACAAAGTTACAGATGAAGGAGCATCTCCTTTATTAGTTGCTTGTCAAAGTAATTATATAGAGATTGTAACGTTATTACTAGACAACAAGGCAAATATTACAACGCGTGCATATAATGGAGCGTCTCCTCTTTATGTAGCCTGTCAGAATAACCATGTAGAGCTAGTAAAGTTATTACTGGACAACAAGGCAGAAATCAATACGTGTTTAAATAGTGGAGCATCACCTTTGTGGATTGCTTGTCAGAACAATCATATTGTAATAGTAAATGTATTACTGAATAACAATGCAGACATCAATAAGTGTACAGATGACGGAGCATCTCCTTTGTATGTTGCTTGTCAGAATAATAATGAAAAAACAATAAAGGTATTACTGGAAAACAAGGCAGACATTAATAAGTGTGATGATAATGGAGCTTCTCCTTTGTATGTTGCTTGTCAGAATAATAATATAGAGATAGTTAAAATATTATTGCATAACAAGGCAGACATAAATAAATGTTCAGATATTGGTGCATCTCCTTTGTTTATTGCTTGTCATTCAAATCGTACAGAAATTGTAAAAATATTACTCAACAACAAGGTGGATATTGATAAATGTATAGATGTTGGAGCATCCCCGTTGTTTATCGCTTGTATGAATAATAATATAGAGATAGTAAAGATATTACTGTACAACAATGCAGACATTCATAAGTGTGAACATTCTGGAAGATCTCCTTTGTCTGTTGCTTGTCAGAATAAAAATATAGAGATAGTAAAGGTATTACTGGACAATAAAGCAGACATAAATAAGTGTATGAATGATGGAGCATCTCCTTTGTTAATTGCTTGTTGGCAGAATAATATAGAATTAGTTAAGGTGTTACTTGCCTACAACGCAGACATTGACAAAAGTGCAAATGATGGAGCATCCCCGTTGTTTATTGCTTGTCAGAAAAATCACAAAGTGATAGTAAAAATATTACTGGACAACAAACTGATATAAATAAGTGTACATACAGTGGAGCATCTCCTTTGTTTGTTTCGTATATGAGGCATCATATAGATATAGTAAGACTCCTGGTACAGAAGGAAGCAGATTGCACTAAAGTGTTTGAAGTGATGTTTCAGCTAATGGCTTCATACTATTGAGAATGAATAGTCCTCACAGAAGGAGGTCAAACTTTGACAAAAGCACTAAACAACAATAAATTTCAGACATTTGTTTTATGGTAATCGAGGTTATATATGTTTGCTGAGGAAAGGAATAATTGCTTAAAGGGTAGATTTTAGGAATTTAACTAAAATTTATAATTTTAATAAAGGAATTGTTGCATAGTTTGATGAATATTATATTGTGTTACAAATGTTTAATTGTATTGAATTCCACGAGAGAAGGTTATAAAACAACTAATATGGTAATATTACACTTTAACATCATGAATCAAACTGAATGTACTTATGAATGCATGCTATACTGTATGAATTAGTCTGTAAGGTAATAAAATATGTTAATTCACATTTAACATCCTTTTTTTCAATATAAAGGACACATTATATATAATGGAGCTATCATGAGAAAATAAACAAATATTATAAATATTGTTTTTATATATAAGCAACATGTTTTTGATATAAATGTTTTTAAGGTTTATATTGTAAAGTGTTCTTGCTAATAAAAGGTAGAGTGTATGTAGAACCGGAAAGAAAATAATATCAGTGCTACAAATATCATCTTAACACTGCTAATATAATAAAAATAAACTTTAGAGTTTCTTAAAAGATATAACAAAATACTGAACTTCAAGATAAAATCATAAAGGGGAAGTCGATAAAAACTGAAAAAAGCAAACGTTATCAACCAGGGGACGATTGGGAATCAACTGTGATATTCATTAGCATTTGATTTTGACAGCGTTAGTGTTGCCATCATTAAATTGTTATAGAAATAAGTGCTGCTAACATAAGTTTTTGACAATTTGTGGTATTGCCTACGTTAGATTAGATGGACTTCAGTGTTGCTAATATAAGGTCTTGAACACATTGTGTTGCAAACATAAGATTTGACGGATCTCAGTGTTTCAAGGATAAGATCTAAATGTAGTTTTTTTGTTGTTGCTAACACTCATTTTTGACATATATGCAGAGTATAATCTCAGTGCTTAATAATATGACACACGAAGTCTGTTTTGACCTTTTGATTCAAGATTGCTATTGGCTGCTTTCTTAGCTTTAACCATTACTGTAGTGCGTTTATTTTAATGCATTGATGATGAAATAAGATAAAATTGAGAATGGAAATGGGGAATGTGTCAAAGAGACAACAACCCGACCATAGAACAGACAACAGCAGAAGGTCACCAACAGGTCTTCAATGCAGCGAGAAATTCACGCACCCGGAGGCGTCCTTCAGCTGGCCCCTAAACAAATATATATACTAGTTCAGTGATAGTGAACGCCATACTAAACTCCAAATTGTACACAAGAAACTAAAATTAAAAATGTTAAAGTGCATATTGTGTTAAAATTCGGTATTTGTATTATATTACTTTTTTCATATTTTCTGCCTTAGAAGAAAATAATCATACCAGACTCCTGCGTATATTATAATAGCTTCATTATCATCATTGTTCATACGAAAATTAATAATCTATGATTCATATTCCATTTACTATTTACTAACATTCTTATAAATAAGTTGACTAAATTTGAATCACATTTTCTCTTCTTATATGGAATGCATTTTCTTAAAAATATAATGAATGTATATTAATGCTGTATTAAGAAGTGAGTTTTACTGTGGGTATTGTTGTGTGTTTGTTTTTTCTACATTCGCTAGAGGTGTAGGGAGAGGGTTGAAATCTAACTAAACATGTTTAACTCCGCCGCATTTTACGCCAGTCCCAAGTCAGGAGCCTCTGGCCTTTGTTAGTCTTGTATGATTTTTAATCTTAGTTCATTTATATGTTTTGGAGTTTTAGGATGACGTCCATTTTCACTGAACTAGTACACATTTTTGGTTAGGGGCCAGCTGAAGCCCGCCTCCGGGTGAGGGATTTATCACTGTGTTGAAGACCCATTGATGGCCTTTGGCTGTGTCCTGCTCTTTGGTCGAGTTGTTGTCTTTTTAAAACATTCCCCGTTTCAGTTCTCAATTTTATCAAGAAAAATGTCTGTAATCGTAATTTAAACTATGTCTTCCAATATGTGCATGCATCTAAGAACTTCTAATTTTAATACGTGATCTGAAGTCACTGTTCTGTAATTAGAGGCGTTTTTATCAAACATTTTAAATCATTAAATTATCAAAATGAACAAGAAATATGAAATTTCAATTTTGTTAAGAAATTGAATAAATATTTAGTTAGTCATGTAATCTACTGTATTTTTAACAAACAATTGTTTGTTCCTACAGTTTGTATATTTCATTTAAAGAAATAGGTATGTATTGATTGCCAGTTTGGCCAACTTTTGAGTATAAGAAATAAATAACAAGAAGTTAAAATGTGAAAATGTCATTTGTTATCTTCTTTTATTTTTAATTGAACCAAAGGAAAAGAAAAGGGAAAAGTACATAATAAATCGTATTTTGTTGATATGTTTTTACCAGTTATTCATTCCATAATGTGTAGTTTTATTGATTGCTTATTGTAAGTATGAATATATGTGTAAATAAAATTATGCTTTTTGTTGTCATAGGTTCCTCTCTTGTTCTCTTGAGAAGTTTGGTTAGCTATAAAACCAGGTTTAATTCAACAATTTGTACATACAAAAATGCCTATGCCAGGTCGTGAGTGTTACAGTTGTTGTCCATTCGTATGACGTGTTTGAGTTTTTTTCTTTGCCATTTGATTGGGGACTTTCCGTTTTGAATTTTCCTCCGACTTCGGTATTTTTTATTTTTACATTTTACCAGTATATTACTTCTTTCGTTTCAATAACTTCAAAAGTTAATTGATCTTTTTTTTCAAGTTCAGGTATTAAATGATCATCTTATATAATTGTGTTTATTTATTCTAATTTTTATTTTTGAATTTTTCCTTATTGTACAAAAGTAGCAATGTTTGTCGCAGTTTTTCATTATTTCAGAACATTAATTTTGTTTATAATTTTATTTATTCAGTCTCCCTTTAAACTCCGCCATACTTATAACATAACAGTAAAACATTCGCTGGGTCGGTGCCACTTCTGGTCTACTGCTAGTTCATGTGTCCATGCTGGTTTTTTTTTACATGTGATTTAGTACTTTATTACGTCTTCCTGCGGACAGTTAGAGTTCATGAGTGTATCCACTTCTGGTCTACTGTTAGTCCATGAGTGTATCCTCAGGTCCGGTACTGTTATGATAAATGACTTTTATCCATAATCTATTTAGAAACTAGGATTCAAACTCCGTCATACAAAATTGACCTTAATTTTATTTGACTACTCTTTTTTGATTCCCTTTTTGATATATAACTCTACATGGGTTCAGGTACTTACTAAGTCTTGTCTTTAAACGTTTTGGTGTATACTGCTTTTACGACAGCAAATCCAGAAAAGCGCTTTCAAGGCAAAAGTTAAAATTGTTATTTTCATTCATCGTCTTGCGCTTTTGAAAAGTCTTTCAATTGCTTTTTTTCTCTCTGTAATAAAAACACAGTTGATACTGTGATAATTTTTATCTGGAATGTAATGAAACTCATGATGGTGTTCTAACCTTGACTGCAGAAATCTATCCGACTGGGTCAAATTGAAGGCTTTGCATTTTGGCTTTGCTGGTTTTTTTTTTTTACATATGATAAAGTACTTTATTACGTCTTCCTGCTGACAGTTATTTTGAGAAGTATTTCTCCGCTCTCAACAGTTAAATTTTAAGTATTCAAAAAGCTCGGTAAGCCTCGCGTTTCAATTTGCAAAATCTTATTGTTTTGAGTGTAGAAAATGACTTAATACACTTGATGCAGTGGTCGAATCTAAACACAATGGTTAAAATAAAGTCATTATTGAATTGAGAACAATCATTTACTGAGAACAAACTTTTCTCTAGAAATGAGAAATATCTATCTCACAAGGATCGAGAAAAGTGAAATTAGAGAAATACATGTCCACACTTCTTTTACGGTTAGAAAATGCATGTCACATTTATCACAAGACGTTGGTCAGCAATCAATCAAACATTTGTCTGTTATTTAACATGTTTTTATATTATGTATAATATATTTGCTACATTGTTTTTTTGTACTTGCATTTTGAAAACAAATGTGACCCTTATTAAATAAATAATATATCGAACAACGTATTTAACTTGTCAACGCAATCATTTTAAATATATTTTATACATATAATAATAAGAAGATGTGGTATGATTGCCAACGAAACATTTCTCCAGAAGAGACTAAATGGGACACAAAACAACACTTATAGGTCACCGTAAGGCCTTCATCAATGATTAAGATCCATACCTCATAGTCAGCTTTAAAAGACCCAGAAATGAAAAAAATAAAACAATTCAAATGAAAAAAAAATAACAGCCTGATTTATGTACAAAATAATAAACGAAAAACGAATATGATTAAGGGCAACAAACGAAAACCACTGAATAAAACGCTCTTACTTAGGACATACACGTATAAAATTTGGCGGGGATAAACTAGTTTGAAGGCGCGTCAACCATCCCCCTTACCTGGAACAGTGGTGTAACAATACAACATAAGAACAAATTGTAAAAACTAGACGAAAAGAGCTTATCTAATCAGATCTAAACAAAGGATGAAATACATCTAAAAAATCCAGAGTGTATACGTTTCCATTCTGTAAGGCAATGAACTGAATACTGTAAAAAGATCTCCGAATAAAATCTTTATCGATATTTTCATTGTATCTGGTAGTACTAAATTAAAACATATATATATTTTTATACACTTTTTAAGACTAATCGGTAGATTAATTTTGACACTGCATAAAGTGATTTGTTTCAGAGTGTTTATTGACCGTTACTGAATATCTCTTTCACAGAAGACGACT